GAGATGCGATCCTAAGGCCACCAAAACGGATCCCCTCAACACCTCGGCTGCGCCTAGAAATTCTGTCCATGAAAGTAATGAACAGAATCGGTATGAATCGTAATGTTTAAATAAAACATTTGTCACAATAAGTCCAAAAGTTGTCACCACAAGTCAGATTACATATTCATGTTCTGTAAATAAAGAAAATCATCACTTCCTTGTCTTTACTCTTCTTCAGTCATAGAGCTTGGTGATGTGTCAAACTGTAAAACACTGCCACCAACTGTTCAGGAGGATTATTACACCCTGAAGGTTGTTTCACTGTGTGAGGGCTGTGTACAGCTAACATTCTCACTCCCGACTCGTCAACTTAGACGCTTTTCCAAAGTTCCCTCTGCGTCTTATTTTGATGCGTCAGGCGACCCCCTCACGTCAGTCTTTGCCGTCCGCGGCTTTTCCAGGTTCCACCACCAGGGGTCTTTGGGTCGGGGGTCTGAGGTTAACATGAGGGATCAGGATAAATGGTTAAGTTTAGGTACTAGGGTCAGGGACAGGATTACAGTGAATATTAGGCAATTTTAGGCTTTGGAACACGTAGTTGATGTGAATTTCCTACATTTTCTAAAAATGGTTAATTTTAGGTATCAGGGTTAACGGTTAATTTTAGGTATCAGGGTTAACGGTTAATTTTAGGTATCAGGGTTAACGGTTAATTTTAGGTATCAGGGTTAACAGTTAATTTTAGGTATCAGGGTTAATGGTTAATTTTAGGTATCAGGGTTAACAGTTAATTTTAGGTATCAGGGTTAACAGTTAATTTTAGGTATCAGGGTTAATGGTTAATTTTAGGTACTACAGTCAGGGACCGATGGACGGTAGTTTTTGTGCATTTTCTACACTTTCTGAAATTATGACAACAGATTCCGCCCCATCTCGTCAAAAAATGACGCAAAGGAAGTACCTGACGCGTCAAAATGGGATGCAGAGGGAACTTTGGAAAAGCGTCAATATGTGACGACTCAGCAGTGAGAATGAGTTGGTACAGCAGGGTGGACAATGGGGTGGCCAAAGATTTGTCTGTGGTGGCCGTGGCCATGGCCACCCCATTGTCCACCCCTGGCTCCGCCCCTGTTCTAGAGTGCAAGCAGCAGCGGCACAGATGAGCTGAAATGAACAGATAATGTGGGATTTGTGGAAATGTCACAGTGAATCCAGCTGTTGAGCTGTCCCCGCTCTCCCAACATTTGATCTATGAATGAWTGAACAGTCTCTGAGTGTCCACAGACACCTGGAGACATGACGAAGCTCAGCTGTGAGTTTAAAACCAACGTGCTCTGAGTGTTGTCGTCCTGCTGCTGCCTGTGTGTGTTCTCTGGAAGGCAGAAAAGTAAAACGTGTGGGCTGGAATACAGACACAATGACTTTACAACCCCACAGAGCCACAGGTCTGAAGGAATATTTCAGAAGAGCCTCTTATTTTTCCAGACTATTTCACCCGAACTCTTCTGTAACTCTATAAAAACTGAGCTGACCCTCAGAAAATGAGGGTTAATGACTTAACAAGACGTGCATSAAGCTTTTTTAACAATCAGTAGTGTCTGAAGTCATGAAGGATGTGTGATTGTATAACCTGCCAGTGTGTGGTGTGTTCTTCATCTGCTTTTTAATAAAATGTCTCATGAACACTTAGCTTTAACAACCTCGCTRATCAATGTGAGGCAACACAACCACAACAAACCTTAACAACATCCTCACTGCTGCAGAGGAGGTCCTGACTCATCGACCCATCAGAGCAACACTCCCAGTTAGTTCACTCCCTTCAGAACCACCATAAATATYAACTAAACCTAATTAAATTCTTTGCACCAAAGGTTTCCTGAGATCACAGTTGTTCTGTGATGAACTTGTGACAGGTCCAGAGTTGCACAATGACCGCTGGAATAAGACCCCAGCTCCCCCACAAACAAGGAAATTATGCACATACAGGTTCAATCTGATGAACTGAAATTCAGCTCCTGCAGGCACAAAACTCTTCCCACACACATTGCATTTATTTAGTTTTACAGGTCATTGTGTGTAACCCTAACACAGAGAACGAACCGTAATGAAGATGGTTTGTTTGAAACAGGTCCTGCTGGCCTTTTCAGGCCTCTGCTCACTCACAGCACACACATTGTTGATCACACACTCATTGTAACATCAGCCTGCAGAGACACACGTAGAGGGAATTATCTGTTTCTACTCACGTTCTCAGCTAGCCTCGTTTAAACCACTGCGTGTTTATTTGTTCTCATACTGCTTCAGCTGAAGGGATGCAGTCACTGTGCAACGCTCAGGATCTGATTTCAAAGGATCAGTCTGGGAATGGAGCCGATGCCGTGCAGCACGATTTCAACATAACATAGAACCAAAGGAGCTTTTTTCTCCTTTGTGACGGTGGAAACACTGCCACAGTCACACTGGAGCTAACAGAGCTGCTAACAGCCGCTAAATGACTCGTTAAAGTTCTGCTCTTCTGTTTTGTTGACAGACAACTGCAGTTTTTCTGGATTCACTGTAGAATGAAGACGTCACTTTTCAGAAAACAAGATTTTTATTTTTTTTTGTGGACTTGGAGAAGGTTTTCGACCGTGTCCCAAGGGGGGCCTTGTGGGGGGTTCTCCGGGAGTATGG